CAAGTTTCAGGATACAAAATCAATGTGTAAAAATTATAGGCATTCCTATATACCAATAATAAACAGAGAGCAAAATCATGAGTGAACTCCCATTCACAATGGCTATACGAGAAATAAAATACCTAGAATACATTCAAGGAAAGTGAAGGACATCCTTAAGGAGAATGAACAAACACTGCTCAAGGAGACAAGGAGGACCAAACAAAAATTGGAAAAACATTCCATTGCTATGGATATGGCGAACTAATATTGGAAAATGCCATATCTGCCAAAGTAAATTTATAGATGCGAATGCATATTCCCCATCAATGCTACATTGACTTTCATCCACAGAATTAGAAATCTACTTTAAAAATTTTCATATGGGAACGCCAAAAAGAGCCCCATATTAGTCCAGATAATCCTTAGCAAAAAGTACAAAACTGAAAGCATTTAATGCTAACATGACTTGAAAACTATACTACAAGGCTGCAATAACCAAAACAACCGTGGGTACTGTACCCAAAACAGAGATATAGACCCGAATGAACAAGAGCAGAGGCCTCAGAAATAAACATCACACATCCTAACAACAATATGAATCTTTGCCAAACCTCGACAAAAACAGCATAGGGGAAAAGATCCCTAATTCTAATAAATGGTAGAACCTGGCTACCATAATGCCAGTCAGGAAAAACTGAAAACTGGACTCCTTCCTTATACCTATACAAAAAATTAATTCAAGATGGATGAAAGACTAAATGTAAAACCCCAACCATAAAAACCTAGAAAAAAACCTAATGGCCAATACCATTCAGTTCATAGGCATGGGCAAAGACATGACAAAAACTCCCAAAAAGCAATGGCAGCAAAAGCCAAAATTAACAATAGGGATCTAAAATTAAATTAAAGAGCATTCTGCCCAGAAAAGGAAGCTATCATCAGAGGGAACAGCAACCTACAGAAAATGGGAGAAAAAAATTTTGCAACCTATCCATCTGTACAAAGGGCAATATTCCATAATCTACAAGAACTTAAGCAATATTACAGAAAAAACACAACCCTAGTCAAAAAAGTGGTGAAGGAATAAACAGATACTTCTCAAAAGAAGATACTATGGTGCCCAACAAAACAAATGAAAAAAAAAACCCTCAACAATCACAATCATTAGAAGAAATGCAAATCAAAAACCACAAATGAAGATACCATCCATGCCAAGTTAGAAGCAATCATTAAAAGATCCAGAGAAACTACAGATCCTGGAGAGATGTGAGAAAATAGGATTGCTTTTACACTGTTGTTGGGAGTTGTAAATTTGTTCAGCCAATTGTGGAAGACAATGTGGCGATCCTCAAAGGATCTAGAACTAGAAATAGCATTTGACCCAGCCCAATCCCTGGGTATATACCAAAGGATTAAGAAATCATTCTACATATAAAGACACATTAACACGTATGGTTTATAGGGGCGGGGGTTAAACACTATTCACATAGCAAAGAGTTGAACAACCCAAAATGCCATCAATGATAGACTGGATAAAGAAAACTGTGCACGTGGAATACTAATGCCAGCGTTAAAAAAAAAATGAGTTTAATGTCCTCTGCCAGGACATGAGAAAAGCTGGAAGGACCATCATTCTTATCAAACTAACGCAGAAACAGAAAACCAAACACCACATGTTCTCACTACAAGTGGAGCTGAACAATGAGAACATATGGGACAGCAGGAGGAACATCACACACTGGGGCCTATTGGGGGATGGGGGATGGGGAAGGATAGTGTTAGAGAAATACCTAATGTAGGATGATGGTTGATGGGTGCAGCAAACCACCATGTCACATGTATACCTATGTAACAAACCTGCACATTCTGCACATGTATCCCAGAACTTAACAGTATAATAAACTAAAAGAGAAATGAAGAAAAAAAAAAATAGAATGAAATTTCAGTTGTAATGCTTACTCTCTTTTAATTAAACTCTATTTTAATCATGTGTATGGATGCATGTATGTTTTGTGTGTGTGTATGCGTGCATGTGTCATCTGAGACATATACTTATTTCTCTTTCTTTGAGTCAACAGTCCAACAATTTAATTATCACTGACAAAGTCTAAGAGTAGCTTGGCTGGATTGTAAGTTTGGAGCATCTTCAACTTTACTATATTTTGTAATATGTGTACAAATTTGCTATCTCGTTAAAAAATAAGAATTATGATTACTCATTTTTTCCCAATCACTTACTATTGGGGAGTTTTTATTGCTACACTGGTAAGTCTAACTATTACTTCATTGTGGTTTCAATTTGTGTCACATTCTTTATTAAGGAGACTGAGCCTATATTTATGCTTATTTGACACTTATGTTTTCTTTCTTGTAAAATGCACTTTATGTATTTAGATATATATATTGGATTGTTTTACATTTTCTCTTTGTTTTTCATTTTTAGGAGTTTTTTAAGTACTTAGAATACTATTAATGGCTTCTAATCAATTATATATTTTGTAAATAAATTTCCTAATATCTTATTTCTCTTTCACTTTCTTCATAAGGTCATAAGATGAACACATACAACTAGTTAAATATATGAAATATAGTTGAATTCAGCAGAAATTCCCTATGGCTAGTAAAATTTTCATTTAAAAAATGCTTTATATACTGTAATGATAAAAGATTTTTTTAAATATATTTTTTCTATCTTTCTACATGCTTCATCTTTTTCCCCTTACATTTAATCTTTCATTCATCCTGGATTTATTTTTATATATGGTACAATTTAAGCCTAATATTCTCCCACTTTTTCCAATTACTTTGTGATAGTTAAATGAAAAATTTCTCTTTATTCAGGTTGTAATTCATGCTCTGCCATAATGATTTTTCTTATACAGATCTGTTTCGTAGTTTAATATACACTTCCTGCATTTTTCTATTTATCTATTTCTTTGTCACTATCTTAATTACTATAGCTGTATTTAAAGTTCTAATATCTGTTATCAGTACTTAACCTGATAGAAATTTTAGTTCACTTTAGTTTTTTTTCTTCTTATTTATTTTCTTTTAAATTATTTTGTACTTAAAGTGCATGGCTTCTATGATATCCATTTATATAAAGTATTTGATTTTGCTTTATAGCAAAGTGTGTGACATATTTTACAATATATTTTTACCATTTTATTTTACCTGTCACAACAGAAGAATAGGTATCCTAAAATAGCTTGTATTATAATTCTTCTAAGTTTTGGGTAAGTGATAAAGAAACTTCTTTTAAATGCTAACTTGCTATATTCTGGCACTTCACTTAAAGGAATTAATCTCTGGGGTGTTTTTTTGTTTATTTGTTTTTCATGTCTTCATACAAAATTTCAATGAATAAAGGTTATAATCTCATTAGGCTCCTTTGTCATTCAAGTTAGCTCATGCAGGTCTGATGCCCAGTCTCCTGTATTAGCAGAAGTGGCCATGATTTTGATTAACAACAGTCTCACAGTCTGCATTCAGTTTCACCCAGCACCAAGTTCTCTTAGCTTCGGGAGTTATTCTGTACTGACTTCATGGTCACTTCCTAAGATGCTGAGTTGTGAAACATCTTCAGAAGCAGTCAGCACTGGGGTTGACTTCAGCTGTCACCTCAGGTGTATGCATCTAGCTAGACACGCAACCCCTTTGCAGTATGATACTAGATCTCATTTTCCAGTGCGTCTCAGTAATACCAGTTCATCATCCCTGATTCTCCAGGAGACATAGGTGTTTGGTCTAATATACAAATCTCGGCCAGATTATTAACGATATTGGATTTAGTATACATAAATTCTTAATAATTTCTTGAGTTACTGTTTCAAAGAGGATCTATTCCTTAGATATCATCTTTGTGGTTGCAAGACAGCTGGACCAGCTGTTAACCATTTTCTCCCCACATTCAATTTTTAACCAGTGTTTGTTAAAACCCACAAGTGAGAAGACCTAAATGTAAATTTCCTATATTAAGCCAAGAACCCAGAAGGCAACTAGTGTTGTCTCAGTCGATTAGGACAACTTGGTTGCTATTTAAAATATGTTTCAAACCTATTTGGAGTAAAGATTTTGCAGTTTAGACCGTTAGAATGCTCACAGATAAGATTCAACAAAATAGGCCGGGCGCGGTGGCTCAAGCCTGTAATCCCAGCACTTTGGGAGGCCGAGACGGGCGGATCACGAGGTCAGGAGATCGAGACCATCCTGGCTAACACGGTGAAACCCCGTCTCTACTAAAAAAATACAAAAAAAACTAGCCAGGCGTGGTGGCGGCGTCTGTAGTCCCAGCTACTCAGGAGGCTGAGGCAGGAGAATGGCGGGAACCTGGAAGGCGGAGCTTGCAGTGAGCTGAGATCCAGCCACTGCACTCCAGCCTGGGCTACACAGCGACCTCGGTCAAAAAAAAAAAAAAAAAAAAAAAAGAAAAGAAAAAAAAAAGATTCAACAAAATAGACAGAAAAACAAGCCACTATGAAAGAGAGTCAGAAAAAAATACAGAGAATATTTAGATTAAGGATTTTATATATTTGAGGTTTGAATTAATAATATGAAATAAGTATGTGTACTATATGTTAAAATAAAAGAAGAAATGTAATTAAAGGAGTATAATAGATCATTAAAAATGAGAATGATTTGAATAACAACATAATACATTTAGAAATGAATAATGTAGACAAGAAAAGTACAATTGTAATTGGTGGGTTTAAAATAAGAGTACACCAGCTGATGAGAGAATCACACATTATCTATAATGCACCATAGAGAGATAAAGAGGTAGAATGCACTAAAGAGAGGTCAAAAGACAGGGAGGGGAGAAGAGAAGGTCCAGAATACATCAAACAAATGTGAAAATCAAAATCTAAAGTTTTTATAAAAATAGGGGTATCTTTATGACCACAGGGTTAGAGAAGGTTTTCTTAAGACACATAAAGCTAACTGTGAAAATTCTCTTCTTCAAAGGACATCAAAAAGAAAATGAAAAGACAAACCACATAATGAGAAAAATTATTTGAAATATATGTATTTCAATGGTATTGTATCTAGAGAATTTAATAAACTGCAAAAAGTGATGAAAACATAACTGGAAAATTTGACAGTCATTTTAACAAGTATTTCACAAAATATAAAATAAGTAAGAAATTAAAACAGGCAAATTATTTAATCTTATTTATAGTCAGGAGGTTACACACCAAAACTATAATAAGATACCAATTTAAGTCTATTAAATTGGCACATCACTAAATCTACACAATGCCACAACTAGGCAAATACATGAGAAATTGCTATTTTTAATATGCTTGCAATTGGAATTAGTATAATCAATTCTAAAAAAAATTTAGCTCCATTGCTTAAAGTAGAAAATGCAGATACTCCTAAGTAATTGTATATTTAATGAATGCACTATTAAATAAAAGATTATTCAATGGTATGTATTAAAGCATTTCATTCAAAGCTATTGCAATAAACATAGGGACCACTGCAATGGGTTCTTGCAGTGGGGGATAGAGATTGGGCTGAACTTCAAATATAGCATGAGCAAGTAGAAATTCATACCCAAAGAGTAGGATGGAGGTCACTGGATGCAAAGGTAAGGGGCATTCTAGATGAACAGACTTAACAGATTCTTTCCGAATATATGCCAGTGTGAGCCAGTATCACCTATGAAGCAGTGGCGGATGAAGAATTGGATTGGATATTGAAAGTCATCAGATATGGAGTGTGGTAGATTCGTGCTAAACTGACTGAGCTGGGTTCTTTGCTAAAACTGGATTTATAAGAAAGTGCACAGAAAGGCCTAGGAGAAGGTTCAGGAACTCGACGGAAGTCCTGCCAAGTAAAAGTACTTTGTCAATAAGGTAGGAAAACGCTTGTAAATGTACATTAAAAAGACTTTCTAAAGAATGCACCTGGCCATCTTGCTTATTGTAGCAAAATGCCAAAGAGAAAACAAAACAAGAAAAAAAGGAAAATAAAAATAACAGCAAACCAAATGTTTATCAGCGCAATTAAATAATAGGGAATTAAAGGTTTACAGAATCCCTTGAAAGATGGGTAAGCCAAGGGCAGAGAATATTATTTAAAAAATTGTGTTGTAGTCATAAAATGGGATATTTTGCAACACTAAATAATAATGTCCACATCTATGTAAATTACCATACACAAATAATAGGCATATAGTGTTGGTGAAAAAGCAAGTCACATAGGACAATTTTGAATTTAATATCCTTTTCTGAAGCTCATAACAACAACAACAACAACAACAACAACAAATATATTTGGGAATTCATACATGCATTGTTCTTGAGGTTCAGATAAGAACACAGATATTTTCCTATGCACAGGAGGCAGAAATAGTAATTAATAGGGAATTCAAGGCTTACAGAATCCACTGAAGAATGGGGAAGCCAAAGGAGGAGAACATTGTACTGACTTCTAAATATCAGGATGCTGCAGAAATACCAGAAAATAATCTCGTGATCTCATTGGCTAGTAGTAGCATCAAATAGATGATAGGCTTGAAAATGTCTACACGCTGATCAAAATCATTCTGTTCTCTATGGAGGCTGATGATATTTCCTTCTCTTCTGCCTTCCAAGTATTACATGCTTCTTAATTTGGAAATCTAACCCAAAATGCTGTTGGCAGTTGTGTCAAAGAAATACAGCTCTAGGCTTCACTCCTATGAGACAGGCAAAATATAAAAGAGGGTGAAGCTGATGCTGAGTTGAAAAGAGATAATCTGGCACAATGATAAATATATTCTTTTAAAATTAAGGCAGTGATAAATACAAAATTCAAGACATTTGTTACCCCTACATAACAAAGGGAGAATTGGGAAGTCACACATGTGATAATCATGGGCATTGCTAATGTTCTGGTATTCAAGTTGCTTCGTGGGAGTTTATTTTTATTCTTCAGAACTTTCACATACATCTTACATCCATTCTAATGTGTGAAACACTACATTATAAAATTTGAAAGATTGAAAGTATTTAATTTAAATATTCAAAATCTAAACTGTACCACTCTGCTGTTAGTGCATAAATTTAACTTACTCCAGGGAAAAATTTTATATGAAGCATCGGCACACATTTTAACAACACAAATGGTTCTGATGTATTATACACGAGTAAATGATGTGTTGTTTACAAAAATAGCCCATTTGAATGCAGAGATGTACAGACAAGTCACATCATTTCTCTACTTTCTTAAAACATTAAGAATTATGTTTTCCTTATCTGCACTTTTTTCTGAAAAACATTGATTGTTGGAGGAATAATGAAAAATTGCCGCTAGAGCAATTCCAGAAGAAAATAGTCATCAAACTCAATGCACAGGTTCAAGCACTAATTAACTTTTTTCATGATACTGTTATTTGTTAACAGTACAAATATTAGGTTTTCTTTTAGCTAAGTAAGATGCCAACATATGGCCTTCAAACCACTCATCATAGTAGGTTATTTTTTCCATGTTTTTATTTAAACATGCTGGGTATTAAAAACACATTATATTTCCCTAAACTAGATAATATATCTGTTTTATAAAATGATAATTATAGAATACATATATATAAGAAAATCCAGAGATAAAACAAGGCTTAGGCTCCTTGAAGAACCAATTGAAACAAAAGAAAAATATAGTAAAGAATTAACTTAATAGTTAAATGTCTTGTTATATTAATAAAGATAATTATTATTTTAAAAACACAAAGGATAAAAAAATAACCATTTTGAAATAATAACACACTAAAAGACAAATTGCCATTGTTTTTTAATGGAAAGAAACTTTATTTCACACTCAAAATATCAGTCCTGATTCTCTCTACTTACATAAACTATTAGTATGTTTTAGTGTGTTTGTGTACATATGCAAGCATGATATACAATAAAGTATATCAATGGAATTTTAAAGAAATCCATATCAGGTCATTATGCTAGAAAACGACGTTACCTAACAAAGGCTCATTCTCTTTGAATATATATATAAAAGTATTTTTCCCATGCATTTATTTATTTTCAATTTTTTAAATAACAAATTAAATTTTACATATTTATTGTGTAAAACATGTTATTTTGAACCTTGTATAGATTTGTAGAATGGCTTAAAAGGGCAAATTAACATTGACAATGTCATTTAAAAAGATAACGTTTGCTAACCAAGAAAACCTCGAACAATACTTTTTGTTTCAGATCTCTAAATTCAGTTCATACCTTTTAAAGGATACTTACTGAATACATATAATTTATTTCCCTGGAAAAGGTAACATGCCATTTTCTCTGTTAAAAAAAAAAAGAGACAAATTCTATAGTGGAAAAGAAACAAGAGAATAAAAGAATTGGTAGAATCCCAGCTACTGCACAGTCATTTTTCTCTTGATTCCTCATACAGAGTCCTTTTTATTTGCTGAACAAATAGCCAATTGTTGGTGAAGTGAGGAGAGCTGTTCAACTGTGCCAGCTACTACCACCTGCTGCAACTAATTAAGTGTGATTATAGTGAAGAGGTGGCAACATTATCATAACCACCTGAAATTCTTGGTTTGAGAGAATGCCCAGAATTTCAGGGCATTGAACCAACAAAGACAAATCATTCAACTGATATAGAAGGTCTCTGAAGTTATTTAGCCCATTGTTTCTTTGGCTACTTATAGCATCAGGTCAACAAGTGAATTAAATATATTTAATCTGCTATCAGATAATACAAATCAGCATGGAAGTCAAACCAACTGCTACAATACAGCTGACTTGATTTTTTTTTTTCATGGAAAGATTTCACTTTCCCTGAAAGATAAAACATACTACATTTGAAATAGCAGTTTTCCTACCAGAGTGATTTATTAAAGCAGACAAAGCCTCCAGACTTATTTATTCTTGAATCTAGCCACGATATGACTACAGCAGCCAGTAGTTTCACTGTGCTGGCATTGGAGCTGAAGGCCCCAGAAGTGGCTCAGACCTCTACAGGCTGGAATCTTCTTTAGTTGCTCCAGATCTTCATGCAGCTCATTGTCCAAACCAGTGGCCAGGATGTGGGTATATGTTCCATTCTTTGACATCCTCTGTCTGTTCACAAACCAGTCTGGGATCCCGTGCTAGTGTAGATACTGCATAATGGTGATACCATGTTCCATCTCTTCCTCAGTGAATTCTCCTGTCCTCTTGGTGAGGTCAATGTCTGCTTTCCTCAACACCACCTGAGCATACCTTTGACCTACATCCTTAAAGACAGTGATGGCAGAGACTGTTTTCCATGCCCCGCCCCCGCATTGTTGTTGGTGTTGAGTACTCGCAAAATATGCTGGAACATCTCAGGGATCACTGGAGACATGACGGTAGCACCGGTGGTAAGCATGTAGGCCTCCTGTGGAAAAGCCTAAAGGAATTTACATTATAAAATTTTATCAAAATTTTTAATGTCTTACAAAACACTTGTAATGAGCAGAGATATCAGCAAATCTCAACCATTAAGAAGAAAATTGTTGATTCTCTGAATGTAAAGCCAAGTTCATTGAAACCAACAAAACTACTTTGTCAACATTATCCCGTGTAAATTATTGAAACTAGGAATAGTGTCCCCAAAGCAAAAATGGAGATACTGCAGAAATGGCAATCACGTTTGCAGTCTTTCAGACCCTTTCCTTCTATGTATGGAACTACAGTTTATGCTTCTACTGGCTCAGTTTGGGATTCCCAATACAACCTAAAGAATATAAATTGATAAACATATAAGGGAATTATGGAAAGTATCTGATGAGTTCAGGCAAAAAAAGAAGAACACTTTTAAATAAAACATTTTAAAAAGTTGTAAGAATGGGGAGGTGGAAGTTGCAGTGAGCTGAGATAGCCCACTACAGCCCAGCCTGGGTGACAGAACAAGACTCTGTCTCAAAAAACCAAACCGAACCAAACCAAACCAAACCAAACCAAACCAAACCAAACCAAACTAAACCAAAAGCTGGAAGGAGTTCTTTTAAACCTAAACCTCCCAAGTAATTGTCCTGATTCTTTGTGGGCAATGACATACATCGAGAAGGTGTGCGTGTTAAAGGAGAAACAGTTATGCTATGGGAGATACAAACGATTAGCATAAATAGATGAAGATGATTTCAGGTAATTACTCCATTACATAGCAATTTAAGAAAAGTTAAATTTATGAACATATTACATAGTTAGTCCTTGTGAATGTTGAAGTAAGTTCTTGAAAGTAGTTTTAAAATGTAACAGACAAAAGAAGATATCAGACAAAAATACCTAAGCTATATATTTAATGGGATATAGGATTCATTTGCAGGGAAGGAAAGAAGGAAGGCAGGAAATCAGAAAAGAAGAAAGGAAAGGAGAGTGGATGGGAGGGATGAAGAGGGAGAAAAGAAAGGGTAGAAGGTAGGGTTAAGATGTCTTTATTTGAATAGTCGATCTATAATAGAAACTAGGATGCCTGCTACATTTTGATGAAATCATTGTAAGAATGAGGCCTACCTCCTAAAAGTATTGTTCATAAGGAATATATACATTCATCATATATATATTCATCATATATATGAATATATATATTCATCATATATATACACATCAGTAGTTTTCTTAAAAAAGTATATATACATATATATACTTCCTTATTGTTCATAAGGAATATATATACACATATAATAGTTCCTTATTGTTCATAAGGAATATATATACACATATATATATGTGTTATTTTTCATTAAGTGTATGTATTGGTTTTCCTCTAGTAGAGTAATAAAGTAAAATATTTATGCATTTGAAAAGTGAAAAGAAATAAAAAGCAGCAAATGAGAGAAACTTACACGTGACACCTCAACCAACCCAACCTCTCAACCCTTCAGTCTCCCTTCCCCTCGCCTCTCTTTTCCTCACACACAATCATATGTTTCATTGTTGGAACTGGAATTC